GCTGCCCTGTTCTGGACAATCTGGAGTTTTCTCAGCTCGCCTCTAGTGGCAGATGACCAAACCATAGAGCAGTAATCAAGATGACATAAAATTAAACTCTGAACAATCTGACGTAAGGGTGGACAATCAATGAAAGAAGCACTTTTTCTGCATATACCCACTGCTCTACCCATTTTAGAAACAATAAGATCAATGTATTTGGAACAAGACATATTGATATCTATTATCACACCGAGAAGTTTCACACAGTCAACTTGTTTTTTAAAAAAACAAGTTGAATTTTTTAAATTGCATAGCTGTAAATCAAGTTTTAGATTGTTAGACAGCCTGTGCCTCGAGCCCAACACCATGCACTTAGTTTTAGAAATGTTAAGAACAAGTCTGTTAGATAGTATCCAATCATGAACAACATTTAGCTCTTTGATCAAGATATCATTAAGTTCCTTTTGGGAAGGAGCAGAATAGTACAAGGTAGAATCATCAGCATAGAGTACTAATTTGGCAAGCTCAGTAGCCCAACATAGGTCATTTGTAAAAATCGTAAAAAGCAGTGGTCCCAGACAACTTCCTTGTCGAACACCACATTCAAGGCCTCTGCTATGGGAGAGACTGCCATTCAGGTAAACCTGCTGTGATCTGGATGATAAATAACTTTGCATCCACATAAGAGCAGAAGAATCAAAACCGTAACATTCAAGTTTAGCAAGTAGAAGAGAGTGGTCAAGCACATCAAAAGCAGTGCTGAAATCTAAAAACACAGCTCCCACCAGTACAGAGTTATTTATGGCCACCAGCCAGTCATCAGTCATATGAATTAGAGCCGTAGAAGTGGAGTAGCCAGTTCTATATGCGTGTTGACATTTTGTCATTAGCTTGTGTGATTCAAAGTAAGCCTGAAATTGTACAAACACAACCTTTTCCATTATTTTACTTAATACAGGAAGAATGCTAATGGGCCTGGAGTTGACCTCGTTAAAAACAGATTTCGTGTCCTTAGGTAAAGGAGTAACCTTAGCCTCCTTCCATCTCATCGAACACCCATCTGCAAACATCTATTTATAATGTGACAAATAGGACTTGATATAATACTAGCGGTCATTCTCAGTAATTTATTATCCAAGTTGTCTCTACCTGCCGTCTTAGTATCAGGAAAAGAATGAAGTAACCTCTCAACCTCATCAATTTCAACCTGATGAAATTCAAAAATACAATCTTTGTCTTTCATTATGATGTTCTTTATAAGATCAGTTGAAATTTTTTTAGCACAGTGCATGCCCCCCCTTAATTTTGATACTTTATTCACAAAAGATTTGCAATGTCACACGGTCTAGTAAGTACTACACCATTTGATTCTACAATAGATGAAGAGAAGTTAGCTCTTCGACCCATAATGTCATTTAGAACTTTCCATAATCGTTTACCGTCAAATCTAGCGTCATATAACCTCTGTTTGTAGTAGTTCCTCTTTTTCACTTTGTTTGACTTTGTGACCTTATTGCGTAGGGAACAATATTTATACCAGTCCTCAGATGATCCAGAAATAACTGAAACTTTTTTTTGCAATATCTCTTTCAGTCATCAAACACTTAAGTTTATCATCAATCCATGGAGCAGATCTGTTTTTGACTGTGAACTTTTTTAAGGGAGCGTGTTTGTCTACAATATAAACATCGACATAACTAAATCCAGTGCAGTCACAGGCTCATGTTCACTGCATACATTATTCCAATTTAAACTCGCCATGTCATTAGTAAAACATTCCCTACTGAATTTTTTATAGGAGCGTGTGAGAATAATTTTTGCTCCGGGTTTAGGTAACTTTGTCTTTCTGGTACTGCTATTATATTATGGTCACTGAAACCTGCAAGGACAGAGACCACATTGGAACATTTATCTGGAACATTAATGTAAATACGATCGATGCATGTTGCTGAAACAGCACCATCACTGCTTCTTATTCTGGTGGGAGTAGTGACAGTTTGATGCAGGTTACAAGCATTCAATAGAGAAAGTAACTTATTTTTGTTTGTGCAAGACAGACCCAACCAATCCACATTCATGTCACCTAGTATATAGATTTTGCTATTTGTGTCTAAAATACTGTCAAACATTTCACACAGCCTTTCAAAATACAGAGCATCAGCACTTGGAGGTCGGTAGAAACAGCATACCATGATTGGTTTCAAGTGAGGCAAGTGAACTTGCACACAAATTGCTTCAACGTCACTGATCATCAGATCATAGCAAGTTTTGACAGATAAGTGATTTTGAATATAAATAGCTACCCCGCCTCCAAACCCATTTCTGTCTTTTCTAAAGACTGAGAACCCATCAATAGTGACATCAGCATCAGAAAAGGAATCATCAAGGTGTGTCTCAGAAATGGCGAAGATATTAATACAGTTAATTCAAACATTGCACTCAATTTCTTGAACCTTATTTTGTAAACTGCATACATTAACATGTGCTAATTTCAATCCCTTACACAGACCTGGTTTAATGCGGGGTGCATCAATATTCAACAGAGTCACACCAAAAAAAATCAGTACACCACCCAAACAGTCCCTCAGTACTTGTCCAAATCAGAGATGTCTCTGATATGTAGAACACTAGCCTGCTCTGGTGATCCATTCAGTTTAATGAAAACTTTACAGTTTGTGGTCCATGTTGACTGAATTTTCTGCTCCTTCCTCAGGATTCCAGCCCGTCTGGCTATTTCTGCATTTTTCTTTGACAGATGTTCATTGATATAAACGTTGGTCCCCTTCAGTTTTTTGCCTTGTTTGAGTAGAGCATTTTTTTCTTTCTGTTTACAAATCTTATGATTATAGCAGGCTTTTCTTTTCTATCTTTCCGTGGGAGTGGATGACATGCCTCAATGTCCTTGCCATCGACATCAATTTTACGTGTGCGAAGCAGGGGGACAGGTGATCTTTAAGGTGTTGCTCAAGGGGGACCACTGGGCCAGGCTCAGAGGGCTCCCCATTCTCTGATGCCACAGCTTTCGAATATGACCTAGGTTTGATGTCCAAGCCGGTGATAATTAAGTCATTTATGCGAGTGTGTTGTTCTAGGTCTGCCACTCGACCCTTCAACATTTTTATCAGTTTGTCTTTTTCCTCATTTTGGCTTTGTAGCTTCTTTACCTCTCCCACCAGGTCCAATATGAGTTTCTGCTGTTTTGAGATGTTTGTAATCTCTCCTGACATGAAGTTGAGTGACTTTTTGTATTTCATCAAACTCATCATCCATGATGGAACAGGGTTCAGCCTTTGGTGGCATGTTGCTTATTAAAACAGATGCTCACCTGAGCTTGGTTGACGGTCTATCTCAAAAGCGTTGAGTACTGGGTCCAAAGAAAACAGCGGCTGCGGGTCACTGGTCAGGACGAAGCAAACAGTCGTTAGACGCTTAGCTAGTAAGCCATTAGCTGTTAGCCGCGCTCCTCCACGCTGAGAGGTGAGGAGGAGAAGAAGTTGTCCATTGTTTACGAACTGCTGAGCACCGGTTCATTCACTGTCAGAATCCCCACTACAGCTGTGATGTCTATTCATGAATATCTTCAAATATCTTCCTGCTGTGCAGCCCAGGCAGCTCGTGCTTGAGCCACTGCAGTGCTTCAGTTGATGAAAACATTAATAGGATAAAGAGTAACTTATCAGAAGACATTTTGACTATAATTATTAGGTATTTGAGTTATTGTTGCTTTGACTTTGTTTACTTTTAAGTAACCTCCTCTGGCTTTAACAACAGCTTGGCATATACCTGGCATTTGTTCCACAAGTTTTTAAGGTATGTTCCAGGGATTGCATTCCAAGCTTTCTTAAGTTCATTAAAAAGAGACTGCTGATTCGTGGGACGCATTTTTCTGACCGATCGATCCAATTCATCCTGCACAAGCTCAATTGGAGAGAGGTCTGGAGACTGAGGGGGCCAAACCATCTTTTGAAGAACACCTCCCTCTTCTTTTTTGTCTAGGTAACCCTGACAGAGCTTGGCAGAGTGCTTAGGGTCATTGTCTTGCTGCAAAACAAACTTATAAGCCACAAGTCTGAGTCCAGATGGAACAGCATGGTGCTGGAGGATGGAGTGGTACTGTTCCTTCTTCGTGATACCCTTCAAACAAATCTCCTACTCCATCACCTGCAAAATATCCCCATACCATGGAACTACCACCTCCATGCTGAATTGTGGGTGTAACACATGGTGCTTTCAGGCGTTCACCAGTTTGTCTGCGGACATAGACTCTGCGGTTTGAACTAAACAGTGCAAACTTGCTTTCATCGGTCCAGAGAACTTGTTTCTAGTCATCATAAGTCCAATTTTTGTAAGCTTTGCCCACTCATATCTCTTTTTCTTGTTCTGTTGACGAAGTAGTGTATTTTTGCAGATACACAACCCTTCAGACCAGCCTTTCTCAAACGTCATTTCACGGTTGTCAGAGATATGGGTTTCAACCTTGTCATGTTGATTTCCTCCCTTATTTTTGGTGCTGTTTTTTGCCGATCTCTCTTACCAGTGACAATGCTATGTTTATTCTCTGCTTTTGTAGTAACTCTTGTGGGAACTCACAGGTTCATGCTAATCATTTAACCATCACATGTTCATCAACTGGATGATCAACTGGAAGGACATGTGGGCCATGGAAGCGAGACAGCTGAGCTTTTCCATCAGAGCTATATACGACGTCCTTCCATCACCAGTTAACCTTCACCAGTGGTTTGGTGAAGACCCGAAGTGTGCCCTATGTTCCATGCCAGCCACCCTCAGACACATTCTCACAGGGTGTAAAACCAGTCTCACCCAAGGACGGTATACATGGCGTCACAACCAGGTCCTAAAGGTCCTTGCATCCACTCTAGAGGACAAACGAGCTGCCACCAACTCCCTACCACCACCAGCATCCAACCAACAACCGGCAACTACCTTTGTCCGTGAGGGGGCTAAGGTAGCCAGAAGCTGCTCCACACCATCTGAGCGAGGCCAGCTACGCGCAGCCCGTGACTGGAGGATGATGGCTGATATTGGCCAACAGCTGGTTTTTCCTCCAGAAATTGCTACAACCACCCTGAGACCTGACCTGGTGCTGTGGTCCCCTTCCCTAAAGAAGGTGTACATCATCGAGCTCACAGTACCCTGGGAGGACGCAGTGGATGAGGGGTATGAGCAAAAACACCTACGCTACGCCGATCTCGCTGCTGAAGCACAACACCGTGGCTGGAGCGCTGAAGTCCGCCCAGTGGAGGTGGGATGTAGAGGATTTGTGGCAAGATCTACCACCAGACTGTTCGCTGACCTGGGAGTCAGAGGCCAGAACCAGCGCTCAGCCATCAAAGCTACATCGGAGGCAGCTGAAAGAAGCAGCCAGTGGCTTTTCATGAGGCGGAAGGACCCCTGTTGGGCCCCGAAGTAGCAAGCCTTCAGGTATGCGGTCAGCTTCGGCTTGACTCAGGGAGTAGGACGCCCCTGCCTTGCATAGTCCCACGAGAGAAGGTACCATCTATCTCGTGACGAGTCTGGACTCACGCAAGCACAGGTCTGATCAGCCTGTAGCTGGTCACCTTGGGGAGGGTGTATAGTGTGGAGGCCGAAACATCCCAGGAGCCAAGGCTACACTACTGATGATGCGTATCCAGCTCCCATTCTCCATCATTCATCACCAAGACGACAAGAAGGTGTTCTACCATTCATCACTCTTAGGTATGTGCTCAAGGAATTAACATCTTATCCTGTGTTTGATAAACCCAATGCTAATCATTCAATCATTGATGACAATCATTTAATCATTGTTTCAGGTAATTAACTGTTTTCTTATTGTGTTTACATTATTTTGTGTGCTCATTGCGGACATGTACTGATGAGTCAGATAAGAAGGTTTAATGCTAACACGGGGGCAATTGACCACTGTGTCACAATGTATAGAACAGAGACTTTCAGTATAGAAGGATTTTAGCTTATGCCTAGAAGTGCCAAGGGTTGGTAAGTATGGTTTTAAACTGTTCTGCCTTAACCGTCATTTATTTGAAGTGTGTATTATAATCATAACAGTCATTTATTAAAAACTGTGCTTTATAATCATCACAGTCATTCATTAAAAGTGTTCCTTGTAAAAGTGCTCTATGACCCTGACATATGCCTTAGATAATGATGTGCCTTTCATAACAGATGTGCAGGTGCTAGTCAGAGATGTGAACAACAGGACGAGGGAGGAAGATCACTCTGTCCTGAGAAGATGTGGAGGTGTAAAGGGAGGGTTTGCATGCCCAGCAGTCTGCCCAGTGGGAACTCAGTGAAAGCTTGGAATACATGACGCAAATATGATAAAAAGGAGACAAGCACTGGATGCATCCAAGGTCAACTTCCCTGAAACCACGGTTTCGGTCAGGTAAAAAAAATAGAACAATACGTGCTTGTTTGTCCATAGAGAAACACTGGGGACTGCTGGTTATGTAAACTCTCCGCCCAAAACGATGATGAGACGCCTCCTAGGGTATAACTATTAACTACTGAAAAATAGTAATCAGACCACCTCAGAGATAACATTGGGTTGATGTTGTGCTCTCCAAGATGTCTTGTGTTATTTGCTGTGCCGAAATAAAAGGTTTGTTGAAGACACCTTTTTGCCTCATTGAATCCTCTGTTCCAGTCTCCATCAACGGACTCGGGGAAGTTTGGAATAACTTCAACACTCTCTTTCGTCCAGGTCTTTTTCTACCATCATAACGTCCAGGTTCTTCTAGTCTCTTCAGAGTGTAGTGGACTCCTTTGTGAAACACCTTTAGGCGTTTTGCAATTTCTCTGTCTGTGTATCCTTCTTTCCTCATTGTACAAATCTGTACTTTTGTTTCTTTACTCAGTTGCTTCTTTCTAGCCATTTTTGCGGTAGTTTGAACGCAGTTGAGATTTATTAGGATTTTTGTATGCAGACCTTCAAAATCCAAAAAGTTGAGGTAAATAATCCAACTGTGATTTGTTTTTTTTGCTTTTGCACTGAAGTTGTGACCCTTGCAAATGTTTTCAGCCCTAAACTAAGCCCTTATTACCTTTTGCTGACATATATTTAGCAATGGTCTGTTAACATCAATGTCTAAAGGTAAATGGAGTAAAACGGTGCATTTCCATGAAAGCAACATCTGATCATGGAGTAAATACATCCCAAAATACATAAAACTCATGCTGGATTTTAAAAAAGCTTTGTGAACAAAAACTTAAAGTTACTCCCAACTGTTCAGCCTGTAATGGCCTTGCTTCCAAACTTTTGGCCTGTAGTGTATGTTCACTGCAAAATCAAATAATCTGATCATGATGTGCGCATACACGCGTTAAGCTTTATTCAGGTTAGGAACATTTGGACATGTGAAGAGTTGTCTAATTTCACTAAAACAACTGCATTAGAAGGGTTGTATTTATGCTTGTGGTCAACAAACCAACAAACATGGTAGTGTCTCACTTTACCTAATTCAGGGTTTTCCCCCAACTCAGAATGGACCTGAGCCAGGTTCTGAGAGCAGTTGTATTGCACTTGCCCATGTAAATGTAGCTAATGGAACAGGACAGAGGAAACACCCAGCTGATACTGAGGTAAGTTTGGTGCTGAAAAAAACTTCACTGCATTGGTTTGTAAAGATAGTGCATGCACAATAGTTGTTGTTAATGGACACAGGCCCTTATAATACTATATGCATTGCAGCATTTGCCTGGAATAAGGCTTGTATGTGCAACCTGACTCAGTTGTACAGTACCACTTTCATTCACCAGATAAAACAAATGCAGTTTGATATGAATGATTTTGGCAAGGTTTGCTCAAGTACCAGAGTCTAGGTCTCAGTCTCAGATGACATATTTGCACCATTCTGTTGGTCTCAGACAAAGGTGACTACTTGTGCATTGTCTGTTGTCGCTGATCCCTGTAAGGCTTGACATACCGTTATAAAAAAATGAACTGGCCAGAGAAACCTTGGTTGTCCAGGAGAAGATGCCAGTCAATCCTTCTCTAAAAACATCTGACTGCCTAAATCACAGAGTTCATTCTGCAAAACAAAGATCTAAATTGAGATGTACTGTGTGGAAACTCTGCAAGACATGTTAATTTTCATCAGCAGTTTACAAAACACTTAAAGCAAATAAGATGGCAATCATTATTTTTCTCTTGTCCAAAACTTTCCAGAATTCTCCTCATCCCTGACCTGATTTGGTTTGTTGAGGCCAAACAATCACTTTGGGTCTTCCACAGTTCTGTTCTTGAATTAGTCTGTGGATTGAATTCTCTTTAAACTCTCGGTCTTGTCTTAGAACTGATTCATTTGGGCCTTGACATGAAAACTACAAGATACATCTGTACATTGTTTTTTGGAAATACTGTATATGAAAGGGTGGACTTGAAAGTGTTTCTACAACCAAAGCGTTCTGGTAGTGAAACCCTCCCTTTAAATTTACATAAGGTAGAATAAATAGAGTTTTCTTTCTCTGACAGTTTGAGCAACCTGAGGATGCTAAAGTCTACCATAAACCACACTGAAAGCTTCAAGTAATTTCTATGGGCCTGCACACGTGAAAATCAACATTAGGGGGCTGAAATCTGCGAGAGGCTGGAGGAGTGGGTGATGTACTGCTGCTCAAAACTCTTTATAGCCCACTGATCAGTCTAGCTAGCAGATCAGAATGCTACAAACCCATTCCTTGGTTGTAATTTTCTTAACAATACAGCACACATGAACAAGATGCAAATTTACACTGTGCAATAAATAAACACTGAAAAGAGAGAATTTACGGTTGGGCAACTCTGCTCCGATCCGCTGGTTTAGCACCTGGGCTAAGGCAATAACCTTTAGCAGATAAAGCAGAGAGAATTATATAAATGCCTGAATTGTTCCTGTGTGACCGTGAGGCTTAACAAACTGCTGGTCTGAGTCCAATCCTATAATCTACATTAACCCATGTCTCTTTGTCTCTGTTGGGCAAAGAAAGCTGTATTGGCTGAATCATGTGTGCTCTTAACAGGCACTTTGGGAAATGGTTTTGCTTTTTAGCTTGAACCACACTTTGAGTGTAGAACTGCCTTTTTCTTTGCAGTTAACAGGAGCTTATAAGCAGCACTCAGAGATGACTCGTAACCATACAGTCAACTGAAACTTCCTGGAAAAAATCACCTCACTGAAATTATCGTCATTAATAAAAAAATGACGTCCTCCCCCCCCAACCATCTGTGCTTTAAATAAAACAATCTTCATAACGTTCTTTTCGTTTGGATAAGTTAAGATAAGATAAGCCTTTATTAGTCCCACAAGGGGAAATTCCCATTTACAGTTCATACTTTCCAAGAAACCTACATAAGACAGATGCATGCAGGGTGACAGGAACAGGAGAACTGTCGGATTGCCAGCCTGACCGGCACCCCTTTCTCAGATGAGAAAAAGGAGAACAGGAGGGAAGAAGAGGGGGACAAAAAGGCAACTCCAAACTCTGCTCCCATGGGGGGCACAGTTTGGGATCAGTAAAAAAAAAAAAAAAACACCGTCCTCAGCACATAAGCAACATAGTAAGACATTACAACAAAAATACTTGAGAACTTGCACATGTGGGAGGAGGGCAGGTGTCAGGGGGGGAGGGGGTCACAGCACAGACCCTGGGGAGAGCGCAACCATACTTGGTGCAAGCATCAACCCACAGTACCTGCACTACAACAGGGAGGGAATGGGGGGCTGGGGGAATGGGGGGCTGGGGTAGGAAGGAAGAAGATGAGTCAGAGCTTCTGATTAGAGCTGACACCCAGGGGCGGATCTACTGGGGTGGCATGGGGTGGCAAGTGCCACCCTAAAATTAACCCTTGCCACCCCTGCTGCCACCCCAACCGGCAGCAATGAACCTATAGAAAAATGTAACACTTATGAGCGCGAAGTTCCGATGTCCGACAACAGTGAATGCAGCACGAGAGAGCGCAAGAGCGATACGAGACTTCTTTGATGGGAGAGGCGCGAACATACAATCTATGGGCTCGAAGCAAGAGAGAGACAGTCGGGAGCGGAGGAGGAAGGCATGAGGAAAGAGGTAAAAGCCATTTTCTTATATCTATCAAATAACGAAATGATAACGAAAGCACAATGTGACTACACTCCGGACTCAATTCTCTGCTACTCAACCGAATATTGGGGCTGGGCATGTGTGAGTGGAAGCTATGCTACAGGCTGTAAAGACGATCACAGGAAGAACTAGAAAAATTGCATTTCCTTGCAGAAAATGCGTGGAAATGCCGTGTGCTGAAAGCTGAAAAAGCAATGCAAAAGTTGCTTAAAAAAATTGAAGGTTTAAGTGTAAAATTGGTTAAAGGGCTGAAGAAGTAGAAGTTTGATGAAAGTGAAAATTGTTGCAATACAAATACTATGAATGTGCTTCAACAATTAAAATTGCATTCATGCTTAATAAGGTCTGAAATTGCAAAAAAAAAAATGGGTAAGGAAGAAAATGACCTTAAAACACAGAAAGGTGAGAAGTGGCTGAAGTTTAAGTTGTAGTACTAGAAGTAGTATGATAATAGGTAGTTGTAGCAGTGATATTAGTAGTCATGTAAGCAGTAGAAGTAGTTTTAGAATAGAAGAAGTAGAAGTCAAAGCCAAAGCAGTAGAGCTCGTGGAAGAAGTGAGAGTAGAAGTAAAACAAATATTAAGAGAAGCAAGAGCAGTGGAGGTAGAAGTGAAGATACAAGTTAAAGTGATATAAGTAGTAATTGTAGTGGTATAATTGGGATTTTGTTTGAAGAATTAAAACATACATAAATAATGAGTGGTTTTGAAATGGGAAAAAATTTAAATAATTAAAAGTCCTAAAGTGTTAAACAGGTTTGAAGTATCAGAAAGGTTTGAATCAGTTTGAAAGAGTTTGGATTTGTCTGAAGAATTTAATAACAGGGCTCTCAAGTTTTGAACTAAGCTTAGAGTGAGATTGTGAGTGCATGAATAATGAGAATAATTTTAAAGTGGGGAAAAGTTAAATGAATAAAAATCCTGAGTACACCCCATAATGTCCTCAATGAGCTGGATTTTTGGAGCCCTGAATGGTTTCTGTAGGTCAAAGTTTGTAGTTCTCGCTTTGTGGGCCTTTCTCATAGACCTCACAAAGCAGCAAGTACAAGAGTGTAGCTGCGTCCGAATTGCCAAGTAGTAGTCGAAGTAGTATCTAGCATGTCCGAATTGGCCACCGGAGCGAGTAGCATGCTACTTCAGATACTACTTCAGATACTAGACACGCCCACATTGTAGGTTGGTCTCGGTGCATCCTACAGGCATGCTACTGACCCAAAATGCACCGCGGGCTTCTTCTACGGCCTCTTAAAAGTTGTAGAAGCGCATGTGATGCTAGCGCCACCAGCTGCTGCCTATTTAAATGTGTCGCGAACGCCGGCTGGCCACAGCAGTGCGCACCATGTCGGAGCAGCAGCAGCAGCAGCAGCAGCAGGCGGGACCGCAGCAGTACAGATGTAAGTTTCATGTAACTTCACACACTGTCCTAAAAATGTTTGGTTGTATCTCTTTGTCATGTCATGGTGTCATATTTGCCCAAGTAATCATTTTATGAGCAAATATGTGGCGACATCATGGAGGTAAAGCTCACTTATTCCATCATTAAACTGCACAGCTGCAGTAATCAGGCAGATCTCATTGAACAAACGATCACCACGTGAGTGAATGAAGGCTAAAAGTCGCGGAAAAGCTACTTTGTGAATTTCTAAAGCAGTACAGGAATATAATACAGCAGCATCCATCACTTGCACAACTACCATTCAAACAGTTTAAAACTGTAACATGACTTGGAGGGGACAGAGAGCAGACCCAAACATTCATCAGCTTTCTTTTTTCTAACATTTTTAGCCAAGGTTTGTTTATTCCAGTAGCATATGCTATATGTGTATTTCTTAGGGACGGACGACCAGACTGAGCACTTAATCAGGTGGCGGCTCAGCCATGACCGCCTCTTCACTGGGCGCAGAAATACGGCCAGGAAGGCATTTGAGTAAGTCAAGCCATTCATATGTTTCACGATTCTTCATACAATACGTGTGTCTAATTGTTACCTCACAATACACTGTGTTTGGCCTTCAGGAGGTTCTTGCAGGACAGCCCCAGCCTCCCGCCGCACATCACGGCTGAGAGTGCCAAAAAAAAAAATGGGACAACCTGAAAGATAAATATCGAGTATGTTGGGCCAACATCTGCCATCAACAGTCAATCCTCCTGTTAATTATGAAGGTTAATCTTGATACTCTCATGTCCTACAGAGACTAAAGGCTCCCAAGACAGGCGTCAGCACTGAGGGTGGTGAGGATACAGCGGCATCCTGGCCATGGTTCGAGCTGAAAAGACAGGAGAGGGAGGACAGAAGGGACAGGGAGGCTCGGGAGAGGGACAAGCGCTTTTTAAACATTTTGGACCTGCTGGCCAGGAGGCAGTAAGAGTTTTGTGTTAGAGGATTTCAGTTTGTGTATGTTTAATGTAGGCGATTGTTTTATGTTTGAGTAGGGGGCCCAACATTTTAAATTTTACGTTTTTTTGTTCTTAAATGCCTCTGTTTCTGTTATGGCACTATGAGTTTTCCTGAAGACGATTCGCCTCTCATCCAAGAAGCTTGATTTGATTTGATTTGATTTTATTTAGCACATTTGTTAAAAGGACAATACAATTGTAACAATAGAGTAAAACATAGAAAATAAAGTGCCAGGGAGAGGCAAAGAAGCCCACAGGGCTTATGTGAGGCCTCTACCTATGTAGAACATACAATTTTAAAAGCATACATTAATAGTAGGAAAATTTTCAAAATATATAGTTGGCTTGAAAAAATAGATTCTGGTAACACAGAAATACCTTAAAAGACAGAAAAAATTAGTGGTTAATCGGTAACCTTGTGTTGCAGCTTTTATGAAAGGTGTTATATAAATAAAGTTTGATTTGATTTGATAAATCCTTCAACCTGTTTTAGTATACATTCAAGGATGACAGTTTTAAACTCTTTGACTGTTTATCATAGAGAGTAGTACCTTTGTATTTTAGGGAAAACTGACCTTGACTAGTGTGGTAAAGAGGAATGTTGTTGGTGTTTAGAAATGTGGACGACTATATGTACTTGAGCGGTCTCAGACCAATCTTTGTTACGCTTCTGTCATGCTTCTGTTACACTTTGCTACACTTGTGGCATGATGAAGCTGTAACCCAGATCTGTAACCAGTAAAGCTTGTCAAAATGATGATTCGTGTGGACCTTCCATTTTTTAATGTGTGAACATGGGCTAGGCATCCTTACACTGAAGGATATAAATGCTGTGTAGATATGAGTTATACGTACTGGCCCAGACAATATTGCAATAAGTTAGGTGAGGATAGATGAGACTGAAATATAAGGTAAGCAGAAATTCTTGGTTAAGTAACCCACTTATTTTTCTGATGACACCAAATGATCTTGCCACTTTGTTACAAACAAGGTTTGACCTCAGGAGAGTAGTTAACCTCTGTGAGTCATAATAACTAAAGAAAGGAGTTTGAAGCCTACTGGCTCCAAGCCCTGGGAGGGTCGTCAACATTTGTTGGTGTGTTGTTAGTGACTCAGGTGAGTCAAGAATCAGTGAAACTAGTCAGGGTGATATATGCTGTTAGGAAACGTGCCACACACAGCAGCATTCTACGGCAAAACTTCTGTGGAATAAAATGGTTTGGTCCAAGCAATGTGATGTGTCAATTGTATCTCTGTGTTATAAAGGTTGGTGGAGGTGATTAGCAGATCTGACCTAAGCAGATGGACTTCTACCAGTGTATTTCATGTTTTGGGTCATCAAGAACCACACCAGGGTCAGGAGCATTTTTCCCCAAAAAAAATTTAATCATACAAAACAGAAATGAATCATACAGAACTGAAACACAACATAAGTAATTGCCCTATTTGTGGCCACACATTTAAAAGGAAAAAAATATACCAAAAGACGGTGTCAACAGCACCGTGCCCAGCATTCTGCAGTTTTTGGATGACACAGTTAACCTGCACTCCAACCTTCGCCTCTAACATCACTCTTTTGCTGCCCTTACTGCTGCCATCGACCTCAACGTGACCCGAGACTGGCCAAAGGACAGAGAGGTAGCAGCTACAACAAAAACAAAACAATTAACAATAATTATGGTCCTGGAGGACATCAGCCACAACCTCTGGGGCAGACACTGCTGCAGCCAGACGGTCCCGCAGGTGTTCCCCTGACGCCGCATCAGAACAGGGAGGCGGTCCATCTTCCTCAGGGGGAGGCTCGGCCTCGAAGAGGTCACCGTTGTCCATGCAGATGTTGTGGAGGATGGCACAACAGGTGACCACCTCCGATGCAAAGGCTGGCTTCACCTCCAGGGCCCTGAGGAAGATGGACCGCCAACGAGCCTTCATCATCCCGAAGGCCCGCTCAATAATATTCCGTGCCTTTCCGTGAATGGTGTTGAACCGGGCCTGCACGGGGTTGGCAACAGGTTCCCGGTCAGGAGGCAGATGGGGGCACCTAAACAGGGGTAGCCTCCATCCCCCAGGATACACCAGCCCTCCGGTGGGTATAGCTGCCTGTAGTACACTGGGCTGTTCCGTAGTACTCGGGCATCGTGAACGGAGCCAGGGAAGCCCACAAACAAATCAAGAAATCTCCCCTGGTGGTCACAGATGGCCTGGAGCTGGATTGAGTGAAACAGCTTACGGTTGAGGAAGTCCAGCTGATGTGCTGCAGGTGGTTTGATGCGGACGTGGCAGCCATCGATTGCCCCGACCACGGTCCGCAGAGCTGGACTTCCCCCGAGGCGGCTGAAGCCAGCAGCGATGTCCTCCAGCTGGTCAGGGTTGGGGAGGCGGATGGTGCTGCCCAGGATGCCCACGACAGCCTTGGTCACCCTGTGCACAATATCATGAACAGTGGACTTGGGGATGTCGCAGGCTGCAGCCACCACCCTGTAGGACACTGCATGGGCCAACCAAAAAACGAAGAGCAGCACCTCTATGTCCTTTGGCCAGCGTTGAGGCCAGCGTCACGTTGAGGTCGATGGCAGCAGTAAGGGCAGCAAGCGAGCGACGAGAGAGGCGAAGGTTGGGGCGCAGGTCAACGGTGTCATCCAAAAACTGCCGAATGATGGGCACGGTGCTGTTGAGCAGTGTGTATGGCCCGCGTGGGCCATGCTGAAAAATCAAAGAAACCACATTGTTAAATCCCAAATTCTCACCTCACCATCTCAATACCTGACTCCCCTGTCAGTCAAGGCCAAACCACACCCCCAACACCAAAAAAGCCAGCCCTCAGGCCTGCTCTCCCTTTTGCACCCTGACCAAGATCAGCACAGAACAAAGGGAGTCTGAGGCCTTACAAAAAGCCTTACTCAAAGCCTTACAAAATGTTGTTGGATTCTCCTTATTTGTATTATTTCTAATATGGTTTATTCTCAAATATTATTTCATTAGATTCCTGTCACCTTAAACGCAAATGTAATGATTTAAAGCCCTGAAGTGGATGCATCTTTGACGTAAGATTAGTAAACAAATTTACAATATCATTTGACACCAGAAAAGACTAGTAACAAGAAATACATGTCAGAGCTTCTAGTTCAAGCACTTCATGTCATAGCTTACCTGTGGCAGTGACTCCAAGAATCTCCACACAGAAAGCGCAAGACGGCGGCGAGCCAGGGCTCGCCTCCGCCTTGCACTTTCTGTGTGGAGCAGCATCAGTGCGGTTGCAGGCATGTTGGCTTTTGTTTGAAGATGTGCCACCTCCGTGATGGCACCACTATATTTATACTCATTGTTAATGAGTAACAGGTGCCTTCTGGTGATGATGCCTAATAAGTCACCTGTGCGCACCGATCATTGTACAGTACTCGCTGCAGTACTACAGCCAGGCCAGCAGATGAGGTGCTTCAGTTACCACTGTCTGCACGGGCGCAGTACCTACTCTCTGCCTGCGGGGGTCGTCTTTCCTCACCGCTCGTCTAGTGTGTCCGAATTGGGCCAACGTGTTTAGTATGTAGGAGTAGGATCTAGCAGTAGCACGTAGCAGTAGCATGTAGTATCCGAGCGGGCAGTTCGGACGCAGCATGTGTGTGAGTGTGTCTCGTTAATGATTTTATCCTAAACAGCTGTGAGACCAAAGGCGTTAACTGACCTACTGTTTGACTGAGAAGCAGCTGAACTGCAGTGACTTTAGGGCCTCTGAACATAGCGTGATTTCCTAAAGTCCCAGAATGAAAATAAGAACATCGTACGAATCCTCCGCCCTTCATGAACACAATGATGTGTTTTTCATGTCTGAACTCCAAAAAATGTGGCCACAACAGCGAGTTAAAAAAGTCTGAGCCTGAGTGACGATAAGGATTTTCTTGGAGAAAAAATACATGAGGGCTAATGGGAGAGATTTCCGCCTATTTGGACATTTGGTCACCTGCAGGCCAAGGGGTAGGATTTAATGATTTGAAACCTCTTTTGTGAGAAGCAGGACACATATACCTCCATTTTGATGTATTTTTTGTGGCTGTGGAGTGAAATTTGTGGGCGTGGGAGCGATATATTTGAGCGAGGTTCTGTCGAAAAAAGACGAGCTGTCCACTCTAGCGATGACATCATCACTCTAGCCTCTCCAATACACACCCATTATAAAGCCTGAAAATCTGCTGAAAACCACGAGGTGAATAAAGCTAAATTGTGGAAAAACTGTAGGAGATAGCACAAAAATGTCAATACAGCATATTTAGAGGAGAAGATTGTGAACATTGTAAAGCAAAAATGAGGTCTCGAGGTGAAAGTATGCTGAAGTTATAAGGCTGAGAAGGTGGAGGAGTAAAAGGTAGAATTTGAAGATTTCCCCATTCATTTTGAAGCCCAGAATGGTTTTTGTAGCTCCAAGTTTGTGGGTGGAGATAGGTGGTGAAGCAGACACATATTAACTGTGTGTACATGCAGGTCCTTTGGAAACAGACACACGCACACACATTGTCAGACTGTGTGAGTGTGTCTCGTTAATGATTTTATCCTAAACAGCTGTGAGATCAAAGGCATTAATACTAGTAGTCATGTCAGCAGTAGAAGTAGTTTGAGAATAAAAGAAGTATAAGTCAAAGGAGTAATGAAAGTAGAAATAGTAGCAATAGGAGCAGTAGAGAAAGTAGAAATAGGAGCAATAGCAGTTGAAGTAGAGGGGAAAGTACTAGTTTAATTGACGTTAGCAGTAGTTGTCGTACTTGAGGTAGGATTTTGTTTGAAGGATAGAATAATGCATAAATATTAAAACTAATTTAAAACATGGAAAATTTAAATAATTAAAAATCCTCAAGTATCAGAAAGTTTTTAAGTATTAGAAAGGTTTGAATCAGTTTGAATGAGTTTAAATTAGTTTGAAAAATTAAATGATAAATCATCACTGAGTGACTTTAAAATGTGAAAAATTTAAATGAATATAAATCCTGAATACACCCCATAATGTCCTCAATGAACTTAAATTTTAAAGCCCTGAATGGTTTCTGTAGGTCAAAGGTCATGTGAGAAGATAGGGGCTGAAGTTTTTTCAAGCGCTCTAGGAAAGGGTTTTAAATGTCATCCCCAGTGCTATGTGTACTGAGCCTGGCTTCATGTGTCTCATATGGCTATTAGAAGCAGCTTTCCAGTCAGCTGTGTGTCTCCAGGTGCACAAATTGGTTGCCATGGGGACCTTGGATGCATAACTATAGCAGGAGAAAGAAGGCTTGAAGCTAAAGAAACAGGACTCCAAGTAGGCCCTGACGCTCATCCTCTGTATATATTCATGATAAGGAGCTTGTGAGAACACAAGACTCTGCTGAACTCATTAATACAATTTATTATCACAATCCTCAAAACACCCCATAATATCTTCAATGAGCTGAATTTTTGAAGCCCAGAATGGTTTCTGTAGCTCAAAGTTTGTGGGTGGAGATAGGTGGTGAAGCAGACACACATTAACCCTTGTGTAACCGTCGCAATTTACACCCTTTGGTAACCACTTTTTTGACTGCTGTAAAAACATATTGGATTCATATTTTTTCCAATTTTTTTTTCATATTTCTCTTAAGTAACTTCTGCTCTATTCAAAAATAGTAAATTTTTCATGAAGCATCAAAATTTTAACCCTTTAAGGGCCAATTTAAAAAAAAAAGTCACCAAAATTGGGAAAAAATAGGAGAAAATGACTGATATTTAATAGAAAACATCATCCTAAACTGGAAATCTCTTGTAGGGTAATAAAGTCTTGAATATGTAAAGGATTAGTAATATCATTGACTTTGATGCCCTTTAAGTTTTTTATGTAGGATCAGATTTCCAAAAAACATCCTATCTTAACGTTCAGTGGCTAAAAAAAGCCACTTTTTTGACTGCTGTAAAAACATATTGGATTCATATTTTTTCCAGATTTTTTTTCATATATCTCTTAATTAACTTCTGCTCTATTCATATCTAGTAAAATTTTCATGTAAATTTTTTTTTAACCCTTTGAGGGTCCATTCAAAGCATAATGTCACTGATATGTTAGAAAAATACACAAAAATGGCCTATTTTCATCATAAAACATTAGAAACAGGTGATTTTTTACATGTTGCATAGTCTTGGCCTTGTGAAGGATTAGGAACCTCAGAAACTATGATGAATTTTTGTGTAATGTCTGATTTTCATAGAAACTTTCATAAAACCCTCATAAAAACACTTGCACTATTCATGTCTTTTCGATACTCGCATTTTCTTTGCCTACCTGAATCTACTGCCTCGCTGTGGGATGTGGATCTCTCCTGGAACCGGGGAAAGTGATAAGTGATTCAGGAAGAGGCTACTCCTGGAGGACCTGGGAACGGCTTTGGTGTCAAAAAGAACTGACAAAACCTGTGTGTTCTGTGGGAAACACATCTGGCATGAACACAGAGTGATCTCCTGCCGGTCTTGCTTCAAACACACACACACACACACACACACACACACACACACACACACACACACACACACACACAAAGCTGAGTTCTGGCTCAGCACATTACTGCTATCTGCAGGTAGGCAAAGAAAATGCGAGTATCGAAAAGACATGAATAGTGCAAGTGTTTTTATGAGGGTTATCTGAAAGTTTCTATGAAAATCAGACATTACACAAAAATTCATCATAGTTTCTGAGGTTCCTAATCCTTCACAAGGCCAAGACTATGCAACATGTAAAAAATCACTTGTTTCTAATGTTTTATGATGAAAATAGGCCATTTTTGTGTATTTTTCTAACATATCAGTGACATTATGCTTTGAATGGACCCTCAAAGGGTTAAAAAAAAAATTTTACATGAAAAATTTACTAGTTTTTGATCAAAGCAGAAGTTAATTAAGAGATATATGAAAAAAAATCTGGAAAAAATATGAATCCAATATGTTTTTACAGCAGTCAAAGGAGTGGCTTTTTTTAGCCACTGAGCGTTAAGATAGGATGTTTTTTGGAAATCTGATCCTACATAAAAAACTTAAAGGGCATCAAAGTCAATGATATTACTAATCCTTTACATATTCAAGACTTTATTACCCTGCAAGAGATTTCCAGTTTAGGATGATGTTTTCTATTAAATATCAGTCATTTTCTCCTATGTACTATACTAAATGTACTATTTTGAATAGAGCAGAAGTTACTTAAGAGATATACGAAAAAAAAAATCTGGAAAAAATATGAATCCAATATGTTTTTACAGCAGTCAAAAAAGTGGCTTTTTTTAGCCACTGAGCGTTACCAAAGGGTGTAAGGTTGCCGAGCGCCTATTTTTGACCTGGTGAAAATTTTGAAGTAATATTTTCAAAGTGTCTATCAATATAAGCATCCACAAAAAAAATCATCCCATTTGGTGCAGTAAAAAAAAAGTTACGTGGAAATTGGTGGCTAAATTCTGACCCTAGTGGCTCTTTTTAGCCACACCGTTACATAAGGGTTAACTGTGTGTACAAGCAGCTGAACTGCAAGGTAGACCTCACAAAGCAACAAGTACAAGAATGTGTATGTGTGTGTGTGTGTGTGTGTCTCTCGTTAATGATTGCATCCTGAACCGCTGTCAGATCTTAACTGACCTACTGTTTGACTGAGAGGTGCTGAACTGCGGTGAATTTAGGGCCTGTGAACTTCTTCACATAGCACGATTTCCTTAAGTCCCAGAATGAAAATAAGAACATCGTACGAATCCTCCACCCTTCATGAACACAATGATGTGTTTTTTATGTCTGTACTCTGAAAAATGTGGCCACAACAGCTAGTTAAAAAAGTCTGAGCCTGAGTGGCGATAAGGATTTTCTTGGAGAAAAAATACATTATGGTCAATGGGAGAGATTTCTGCCTATTTGGACAGTTGGTCACCTCCTGGCCAAGGGGTAGGATTTAATGATTTGAAACCTCTTTTGTGGGAAGCAGGACACGTATACCTCCATTTTGATGTATTTTTTATGGCTGTGGAGTGAGATTTGTGGGCGTGGGAGCGATATATTTGAGCGAGGTTCTGTCGATCAGAGACGAGGTCTGCACTCTAGCTTTTCAAATCGTCACTCTAGCCTCTCCAATACACACCCATTATAAAGCCTGAAAATTTGCTGAAAACCACGAGGTGCTTAAAGCTAAATTGTGGGAAAACTGTAGAAGATAGCACAAAAAGTGAATACATCAATAGTTGACAAGACAATGAACAGTTTAAAGCAAAAATGAGGTCTCTAGGTGAAAGTATGCTTAAGTTATAAGGCTTAGAAGGTGGAAGAGAAAAAGGTAGAATTTTAAGACTTCCCCATTCATTTCTAATGGTACAAATTTTGCACAAAAAGTTTTCAGTTATTGTTGATGAAACTAAAGATGTGCAGAAAAAAGAGCAAATGTCGTTTGTTTACACAGGACTTCTGCTGCATATTTATATTCATATTAATCTTGTGGACTTACAAAGGGCCTCTGCTGCATATGTATATTCATATTTATAATCCAGATTTACACAGGCCTCTGCTGCATATTTATATGTAAAATCTGTACTTACACAGGACCTCAACTGCATATTTATATTCTGAATTTACAAAGGACTTCTGCTGTATTTTTTTTTTATTGTGGAATGTATAATGTTTTTACTGCACTTTTATTAGACCGGCCACTTGTGGCAACAAGGGTAACAAGTGATAGTTTATACTGAAAACTGTCATTGTGCAAAAAATAATTATTCATTGAAATCAATGTTTTTATCAATTATTGACATGGTCAGGGCTGTTATATCTTTATCAAAAATATTTCACTTTGCACCTCATTTCTGCAAATATTGCATATTTTGTGTTTTTCCCATTAAAAAAAATCAGGGGTACTTACGACAAAAGACACTAAAAACCTAAAAAATTATAAAAAAAATTATAATAAACTTTATATCTATGGATAGGTCTGGAGTTGTTGACAAGATATAATGCTTTAAAGTAAAAAAAAAATGAATGTATAATGATTTTAAAGCACTTTTATTAGAGGGTAACAAAAGGGTAACAATTGTTAGTAAATTTCAAGGGGTGCGCAAAGGTTAAATGTTAAACAAAAGGGTAACAAGTGTTAGTAAATTTTAAGGGGTGCAAAAAGGTTAAAGGTTAAACAAAAGGGTAACAAGTGTTAGTAAATTATAAGGGGTGCACAAAGGTTAAAAGGGTCCATTATCCTTGTCCTGGGAATCAAAGGTCCTGGTGTGAGACACTCCTCTGGGTTTTAAAAGTCCATCCAGATGTGAGGAGTTCCTTGGATTGCTGTTTCTGTCAGGCGCAGTGGACAGTTGTGGCTTCATCAATCCTGCCAGTGGAGACTGATGGTTCCTCCAGTGGGTGGGACCCCAGGAGAGGGAGCAGGGGAAGCAAGAGAGGAAGCAAAGAAAGAAGCAGGAGAGGAAACAGAGGAAGAAGCAGGAAGAGCAACAGCGGAAGCAGGAGGAGCAGCGAGCTGGAGGGCACCACTTGAGGGAGGAAAAGTTTAAAAGGGTCAAAATCTGTGCATCCATAAAAAGAGAATGAGACATCATGAGGCCTACAGGACCATTCATGGTATTCTGCTGTTTGACTTTACTTGACCCCTTATCAACAATAACTGCAGTTAAGGTGCTGATTTGTTACACTCATTCTCTTCCTTGTATACATATTGTGTGAATATTTTTTACAGTGTATTTGTAAGGGAGATTTTGAGTTTGTATGTTAATGCCAGTCAGCATGGTGCGCGCCTTCACTTCCGGTAAAGGGATTGTCCGCATTTACTGAGTCTGCTCTCTGTCAGTGTAGTGGCAGAAATAATGGCTACCACACAATCAATTATTGGCTGTGTCTGAAATGAATCACTCAATCCCTAACCCCTAACCCCCATATGGGGTTTCAGATATAATTGACTATGTAGTGAACTTAATCACTGGAGGTTTTGGACACTACATGGCAAGATGCAATGCATGATGGGATGCCCACCACCGGTGAGTGACCATCGGATGGTCACTACATTTTGCAATGCTTTATGGGAAATTTTGAGTCGCCTATATGAGGCACTGGAATTGATCACTTATCATCACTATACCCCAATATAGTCACCTATATAGGGGTTAGGGATCCATTTTGGACACAGCCATTACTATTTTGAGTATCCTTTAGAATTAGAAACTCCTTTTTGTCTTTTACTCAAAGACGCACAGGCCTGCATTACACTTCAGTTTCAACACTTCTGTCTATCTATTATTTAAACAGACTTCATATCATTTTAATAGTTGAGTTATTTTCTTTTTTTTGCTTGCTAGTCTTCTTTCTTTTGTATTTGTGGTTTATTTCTGAAAAAAACAAAATTTGCTAATTGCACATCAATTTTATAGGCAACATTGTTGCTATAGTTTAGAGAAGTGTGTGTGTGTTTGTGTGTGAATGAGTGTGGATGAATTAGTGAAAAATATTTTATTGATCTTGTTTATTGGTAAAATTGTCAAATAAAAATCAAAAGTATTTGTACACTGGACCACGGCCTCCTGTCTTCACTGGCAGACGAACTTGTGTGTGCCCTAGCTCTACATTCAGGGGTAATTCTACTCTCCAGGTAAAATTCCCGGGGTGGCGTTGGAAGCAACAAAATCAATTCCGTAATTGGTAATCAGAAGTTGATTAGTTAATTGGTAAATAGGGGTTACAGTATTTTACTATATCTTCTTCAAAATTCCATTCTCTGTTAACCCCGCCCCCGGCTGCCACAAAAGGCACGCATGCGCATTCCACCTAATTCAGATCCGCCTCACAGTTCTAATATCTTCAAGTTATGAACAAAAACAGTTTTTTAAAACTTTTTAAAGATGTGGCCTAAAGCGGTTTAACGTTAGAAAAAAGTGGCCCAGGCGCCATCTTTGATTATGTTATTTCTACAGTTAATTTTGAAAGTTGAAGTCTCTAAACCATACACACATGAGCAAATAAGATCTTTCACCCTAACACACCTCAATTAATAGGTTTTACCAATTTCCCCAAGCAAAATTAGATATTTCTGAGGTTTGGGGTTTGGGGTCAAGCTATCTTAAGAGTGGAATTCATAACTCCGTTCCCACAACTGGTTAATTTAACTTCAAATAACTGTCGATTCTTACACTTTAATCCTACTTGATAGATAACAACTTTATCTAAAATCATTTAACATGTAAAATTGAGGGAAACTGGAGGATTTTAATGAGAAGTTTTAAAGCTGTCTTACCTGTCTCACTGGACAGGATGCGCTCCTCCCGACGTCCGTCGGCGGTCATCCTTGCAGGTGTTGCAGGTGTTTTTCCTTGGCGGTTTTTCCCTCTTGGTGTTCTCCTCAGGTGTTTTTTCTTCTCGGTAAGACTCGGTAAGGTTTGTAGTCCAGGTGAAGTTAGCTTTTCCAAAATATCGTCTTCTCAGTTGAAAGTTGTGCGCAAGCCGGCCAGAGGTTCAGTTTGTTTTGATTTGAAAGATATCAAACATTCTGTCTTGCCTGTCTCACTGGACAGGATGCGCTCCTCCCGGCGTCCGTCGGCAGTCATCCTTGCAGGTGTTTTTCCTTGGCGGCCGGCCAGAGGTTCAGTTTGTTTTGATTTCAAAGATATCAAACATTCCGAATTCATAGGCAACCATGAGCGCGTGTCACCTCTCTCTTACCATGGCTGTCACTGACGCGCGAGCGATAGTATATACAGTAAAAATGTTTATCAAATTATTTTCATTGTTGATTTTTATCTCAGTTTTTCTATTCAATTTAAATCCAGCCTTGAACACGGAGATAGTTAATTTCAGTGAAAACATTTTTTATTCAACTGTTCGTTTCCAGACCACGGACCGGATATAAAGAGTTCTGACATACCTGAGCAAGATATACATTTAGTACAAGCTGGGGCGGATCTACCGGGGTGGCATGGAGTGGCAAATGCCACCCTAATAGACGGGTTGCCACCCCGGGTGGCAGCGACAAATTAAATGGCCAATTTGACATTTACGAGCGTGAATCTCCATTGTCCAACTGCGTTGAGTGCAGCACGAGATTGCATCAGACCGTGGGTGGCGACGAAGCGGGTGTTGTGGTGGTGTGCCGGCGAGACGAGTGACTTTTTTTAATTGATAAAAGCGAAGGAGCTGGCCAGGAGTCGCAAAAAAGAGGGACACACGAGAGGAATGAGCTAAAAACTGATTAACTAAATGAATTTGTAATGAAAGCACAGTGCTAGCGCTGCGGCAAGAACGTAATTTCGCTAATTTTAAGCTAGGCTACATGTGCATCAGCAGCTAGATCCTGTGTAGGCTATGAAAGCTAATATTGATTCTATATCTGGCAGAGTAACATAAGTAAAATAGCTTCAAATCTTGCAGAAATGAAGAGGAAACGCAGCATAATTAGTTTTTTTTTTTTTTACCAAAGAAAAGGTGTTTATGTGGTCTTTCCCCACTCACCTACTGAGTCAGAAAAACTGCAATAATGCTGTCTCACTATATTTTGCACTGATGGGGTCATTTGTTTTATTAAAGCTGGATTGTTTTGGCTGTTTGTCAGACGAGAAAGATTTCCTCATGTTTAAAGGAGCAAATGCATAAACACACACATTTCAGGTCAGATGGGATCTTAACTGTACTCATCTTCGTTCAAACATGAACATGTTTGCACAGCTTTTGTAAAACAGAACAACTCACTCTAATCTGCTTATGAGCCAGTAATGTGACCCCAAATACCCCTCTACTTCACATTGAGTTTTTCTCACCTTGTTGAGCTTCAGATTTGCATGACCAATTGTTTATTATACATCATTTATTTTATTTGACCTATATTTAACCAAGTAATAAACAGGATAGCCTTGAATGGTTTTATAAATAAGACTCAGCCAGCGTGTTACCTGCAACTGCTCCAGGCTGGCCAGTCAGACTCCGTGTTCAGGGGTCCGTTTCACATTGGTGGTTCAACAAACTCTGAGTCAAATCCTTAACTCTGAGTTGATCTACTCTGAGATAGGAAACTCTGAGTTTCCGGTTTCACAACACCTGATATGAGTTAGTTTTAGCAACTCCGAGTAGTTTGACCTGGAGTTAAGCACGTGCACGCCAGATATAAACAGCCAGCATCTGTGGAGCCCAGATTCATTGATCAACCATGGAAACAGGGAGAAGGAGGGCAGCCTTTTTTACACCAGTGGAGCTGGAAGTCTTAATGCAAGCCTATGGTGAATTACAGCACATTTTAAAACGAAAGTGCAATACAGCAGCAGCTGCAAAGGAGAGGGAGAGGGCATGGGAGGAAATTGCTGCTCGTGTCAATGCGTAACTTTAAATCTAGTCTTGTGCAATCACAATGACAGACTGTTGCAGGGAAACTGCTTGCATGGAGCAAATTAATTTGTTTTATGTAGGTGCAATCCAGCAGGACAAAAGCGGACTTGGCAGCAGCTGAAAATGTAATATAAAAACATTGTGCAAACAGGTGAGACATCGGCATTTTCTCATTTTGATCATGTTTTACATTGTCAAGTAAGTATTAAGTGGCACTTTGATCCCTTACAAAATGCTCTTTTCACACTCAAAATGAATTTTACTCTCTTATGATGTTCTGTTAAATGATTAGGAATAATAAACTAACACAGACTTTCACTCAGCAAACAGAAAGAGGGCAGATGTCATCCTCTGAGGTCCCCCCCGCCCAAGACACAAGTGCCTACATAATATGTAATATTTCTCTACCTATATATTCCTCTCTTTGTAAGCCTATTCATACAAATATTTCTTTCCCTTTAATGTATTTTTCCTTTTGTCCCGACAGATTCTGATGGTGCCATTCGCCTTCTGGAACCCCCTCATGACGCAGCAGACCCTCCAACTGTAAGTAGGCAATACTCGAAAGCCTTTGCTGAATGGTAGTTTAAGAATACTGAATCATATCACTCATCTAGGACGAAGACAATGATGAGGAGGGAACCACGTATGCTACAGTGGAGGAGCCAGGAAGGCCTATGGAGGTAGCTTCTTGATATGTGACCAAGATTTCTCTTCCCACTGACATTTCTGACCATTCTGGTGGAGTCCAGAGTGACACTATTAACACATTCTCATCCCTTTGAACAGAGCGTGGCTGGGCAGCAGCAGGAGGCTCCCTCGACGTCCACGGCACACATTGTATATAAAATACATCTTTTAAAGACAATCCAAAAAACAGATAAAGAGATGCTATTGCTGGACCGCCAGATAAAGAAAGCAGATCTTGAAACAGAAATACTGGAGCACAAGTTAAAGGTGGGTGCACGGTCACACATCATTTATGTCAATGATGTGAACTATTGGAACATCAACTTAACTGTCTTTTGGATTTGTAGGAAATAAAGAAAACCAACTGAAATGCGCTTCATGATTTTTTTTTATTTCTGGGGGTGGTGATGGTGGTGGTGTAGGAGGTGATGGTGGTGGGGGTGCTTGAAACTCAAAAGTGATTATGGCAGATTGCGTCTCTGACTGCTCAACCATCCTGAATTGCTGCCAGGTGGATGGGGTCATCATCTGGCTCCTCAATTTGTAGGGCGGGGTGTTGCTCTCCTCTAATAGTGGCAATATTATGAAGAACAACACATGCCTCTATAATATCACAGGCCCTCTCGGGGGTCACCCTGAGGTGACGTAGGCACTGGAAACGGGCTTTCAGCAGGCCTATGGTCATCTCCACCCGGGCTCGCGTCCTGCAGTGAGCCCGGTTGAAGTTCTGTTGGGGGCCTGGTTCAGGGTCTGGGTATGGGGTCAGTAGCCTCGGTTGACACGGGTAACCCCTGTCACCCAGCAGAAGGCCGTCAAACTCTCCTGTAATATAGAGTGGATGCATGGAGTGTATTAAAGGAGGGAGACAAGAGAGTTATACTGCAAACCTTCAGGCTTCTCACCACGTTGGAGTCTGGTGCTCAGGTTTGACTCGCGGAACACCCTTGAGTCGTGAACCATAGCTGAACTATGATGAGGTGTTTAACATGTTGAAGCAGTATATGTACCTGCACATTGATGCTATGTGTCGACTTCCTATTCACATAATCTGCCTCATTATGTGAAGGAGCCGTGATGGGGATGTGCGTGCCATCAGTGCAGCCAATCACACTGGGTAATCCTAAAACAAATTAAATTTACTAATCTCAGTATGATGTTACAGCACAATATCAATATAGGGTGACCATATTTTGATTTCCACAATTAGGACAAAATAGGACATTTTCAGGAATTTATATAAACAAAAAAGACCCGGACAGAACGTAAAAAGATGACATGTCCGGACGTTTTACAATTAATACCACGAAACAGATCTGTACATCCTTTACCTGCGATCCTGTGGAACTCCTCCTTGATGGCTCGGACAGGTTTGTGTCCAGGAAAGACCACAAAAATCGGCAAAAGCTGTGTCAGGGCGAGGCAGACTTTTCGGATCGCCCTGCATACTGTTGCCTTGCTTAAATGCTCCGCATCTCCAATGTTGTATAAAAAACTCCCGTTTGCGAAATAACGCAGCGCAACACATAATATCTGCTCTGATGTGAGCGCATGACTGCGACCGGTGATGTTTGAAATGTGTGGATGGATGAGGTTGTGAATATAAATAATAGATTGTGAAGAAAAACGATACCGCTCAAAAAGAAAATTGTCCAGGAGGGCTAAAATGTTGATTCTGGGTCTAAGGATGATCTCTCGATGAATATGTAATTCCCTGCGCAGGATCTCTGCACCTTCGTCAATGGGATCTCCAAGAAAAGGACACGCCATGGTCGTAGATTGTAGTAGCTGCTGTGCCGAATGGACCAAGATGACTTAAATCAGCTGTTCAAAACTCGCCGGCTGACAGAAATCAAAAGGAGTGTGTGGCTGAAAGAGGGCGAAGACAGAGAAAAACTCTGGGTTTACTGAGTAAAACCTGGGGCCTGTTCTACGAAGCAGGTTCAACCTAGCGAGGTAGCCTTGGAGCTACCTCGCTCAACTTAGCGCGGTAGACAGCGGTCTCGCTAAACGGTCTTAAGACGCTGGTTAACAACCTCGTAAGTTGAGCCAACTTTGCTATGAGCGCGTGCACACATGTAAGGCGGAGCCCGCCGCATCTGACCAGTCGTGAACACGGACAAGTCTGGAGCGTCAGAGCAGGCTGGGGAGCGAAGGACCGTGTACTTTACAAACGAGGAGCCGGAGACGATCATAAGAAAGTATGAAGAGTTAAAATCTGTCATAAACCTCAAAAGCAACACCGTCGCCGCTGCAAAAGCACGGAAGGAATGCTGGCAGAAAAGTAATCTTTGATGCCTTTATCACCCTGAAATAGCACTGTTCAATGTGCGCTTTTAACTAAGGTGACCAGACATCACCGATTTCCGGGGACAGACCCCGAATTGGATGATCTGTCCCCGGCTAAAGCTGTCCCCGAAAATGTCCCCAATTTAAGCGTTTCATGAATGAGGACAAAAATGTTGCATGTGGGCTAGAACAACGGTTATTACAGTGGGTAGGAAGCACAAGTAAGCAGTCCTGAACAACAGTTTTTACGGGGGTTATTACAAGGGGCATGTGCTGCTACTAAATAGTACCGAGATGTTGTCTGTGATCATGCAGCCCATGCCCATTCATTTCCAAGATGAATTCATTCATTTGTTCATTCCTATCATGTTTACATTTTTTGTGTGATTTGTCGGCCATATGAGCCTTTCATAAAGGTGATCATCCAGAGAAGTAAGTGGGTCCGTGCAGTCCCTGTAAACTCTCACGCGCCGGAGTAGTCCTCGGACAATACGAGCACCGAGGTCTACAGGATCCTCCAAGAACGGACAAGCCGTTTTTCGAGAGAGCTCATTGGTCAGTGGGCGGGGTTTTTATACTTGGTGAGTTCAATCTGGAACTTAACCTGCCCCGGAGCAGGTTAGCCGTCCAGCGTATGTTGCCATGGAGACTCACCTCGCTAAGAAGTGAACCCGCGTCGTAGAACAGGAAACCCCAAACTTACCCTTGAAGTTACCTCGCTAAGCAGTAATCCTGCTTCGTAGAACAGGCCCCAGGTTAGGTTCACGGAGTCTGTTACTATGGTAACTGACCGCGAGGTTGAGTTACCTCTCTTTGTGAAACAGGTTAGAGTTACCCCTCTCTCTCTGGTTTAACTGACCCTCCTTTGTGAAACGGAAAACTCAGAGTTTCCCTGATTTCAGGGTTAACAGACTCTGAGTTTCCATTAAACCTGCTACGTGAAACGGACCCCAGGTCACAGTGATGGGTGAGCCTGGGTGAGTCGTGAACAGTGATGATAGTGCAGTGATAAACAATCTTCAAAGACTGTAAACATTCACTGTAGTACAGCACATCACAATGATCAAGCAAAAGCTTAGTTTTTTTTAGTTTATTCGAACAGGTTAAAAGAAAAAACAAAATGAATACAATATACAATGTGCTTTGGCAGAAAAGAGAGACTGCTCTGTAGCAACATAGATAATCATACTTTGTTCGAAAGGGTGTAGGATAAAATTGATAAGACTTATTAAGTCCTACCCCTTTATTTTTGTGTTACTGTAATTAAATCAGTCAGAGCATGTGTAGAAATAACAGCACAGAAGAAAGAAAATATATCAGAAAAAAGGCACTTTGCCCGTTGTTATAAATTAATGTTTCTGTTTCTCTCTTATATCTACTCAGAATGTGGTTTATAAAAATACGTTTGAACTTGCTAAGCGATCTGCAGGTTTTCATTTCTTTGCTGCAGCTGTTCCACAGATTAACTCCTTTGACTGATATACATATCCCAGCACTGAGCCCTGAGGTACAGATATTTTGTTATAATTTTGAAACACCTTTGTCTCTTAATTGTTTTTTCCACCAAGTATGAACCACCCTTTTGTGTGACTTCAGTAAGCTCATGTTATTTGTGGTCTATTATCGCCAGTTACCCTCTGAACATTCACCAGGATCTGATTAAATTCTCTTCATAGCTAAATCCTTTTTATTTACATGTGCTGCTGGTAGAGAGTAACTAATGAGGGTTGACCTGTGTGTTGTAAATGAGTCATCCATTCAGAAAAAAAGTGAAAGTTTAGGAAAGAGTTAAAGAAAAAAACCTTTTTTAAGTAACTTTGACTTTAAAGATTTTCAGAAACAGTTTCACAAACCAAACCAAGTCAACAAGAAAAAGAAACAGTGCAGAGACAAGCGTCTCAGCTCAACAGAACTGTATTGCTTTCAGTTATTTACAGTTATTTACAGTTTTGATATCTACAAAGAGGTGACAGGATAAGGGAAGGAAAGGTGGGTAAGGGTTGAAGGGGTAAGGGTTGGAAGATGGAAGGAACGGTGAGGTTAAGGTGAGGAGGGGGGGGGGTTAGGAGGGGAGATAGGAAGTGGGGTTGGGAAGGAGGTTAGGGGGGAGTTGAGAAGGGAGTTAGGAAAGGGGGGTTTGGAGGGAAGTTGAGGTTAGGCAGGGGATTAGGAAGGTGGGTAGAGGGGTTTGTTGACAGCTTTTTCATTCACCGTTGTCCTCTTTTCTTCTTCTTTTTCATCTTCTTGTGTTCGCTCTCCTCCTTCTGTGTCTTCTCCTCATCTGACTGTTTTTCAGTCTCATTCCCCTTGTCTTTATCAGCTATCTTCTCCTCATCTTCTTTTTTTATCTCCTAATTTTTCTCCTCCTCCTCCTGTTGTTGTCTCTTTTCCTCCTGGAGGAGCTAAGAAAGTATCTGTGTGTTAGTTGATTCAGCAGAAACCTTAAAATATTCTCTAGAGAATCAAAGAAGTGATTATTTTGATGATCTGTAATATATCTGAGCTCTGAAGTACCTGCAGGTTGATGGTTTGGTCTTGGAGACACTTCTGCAGATCGTTGTATTTTTTAAGCCAACTCTCCTCATTCCTCCGAAGCTCCAGGTCCTTTTTGTTGAGAAGGTCCAGGGTGTCAATGTAAGCTCTGGTGCGCTTACGTCTCTTTTTAATAGCTCTCCACTGGACCTCTCCCATAACCTTGAGGTCTTCTTGAAGCCTGCAGACTTCAGAGGTTTTGTTGGCCAGCTGGTCTTCATAGGCCTTGGATGAGTTCTGCTGTTCTTCAGTTGCCTTCTGGACCAGCTCATCTTTGAGCCTCAGCTCATCTTTGACCTTGCCCAACTCTGACTCTTTTTGTGCCAGCAGGTCGATCATGTCTTTGTGGGCCTGTTTTGTATCCTGCTCTGTTATCTGGGCCCTTCTCAGCAGGTCGTCCTTCTGGCTCAGCTCCTCTTGGAGTTTTCGAAACTCTGTTTCTTTTGCTGCAAGTTGCTCGATATGGGCCTTGAGCATATTCTTCTCCTTTTTATCAGTGGATTCTAGGAGGTTGGTCTTGGTTTTTAGCTGCTCTTGCAGGTCAGCTAATTTGGCCTCACTTTGGGCCAGCAGGTCCAAGGTGTTCACGTTCTCCTTTTCTCTGTCCTGCTCCTTTTGTGTCATTTTAATAAGGAGGTCATCTTTTAATGCCAGCTCCTCTTGCAGCTTTAGCAGCTCTTTCGCGCTCTGGGTGAGCAGGTCCAGGGTGTTCTTGTGAACTTGGTTTATGTCCTCCTGTTGTTTTGACATTTCAGCCTCTCTTTCAACACTTTGTTTTGCTCCTTTAGAGTCTTGAGCTCTGCGGTAGTGGAGCAGAGAGTTTCTCGAAGACTCTGGGCAACTTGAGCGTCACTGAGCTGGTGATGCGGTTTCTGCAGCTGAACATTAGTTGGAGCGTTCAGGGTGTTCACAGCTGCCACACATGTGACTGGCACACAGGGCTGAGAGAGAGAAAATGACATGAGGTTCATTAAAATAATTACAAAACTTTGTTGACATGGAAACATGGCTTGAGTGATGCCCGGTGACATGTAACAATATTCCCACGGGTACTTAATATGCGTTCTGATGGGGAACTAGTGGCAGGCACACACAGATACTTTTTTGCCAAATTTTTCAGGTTTGGGAACATTTCCTCATGGTCCTTCCACCACTGCAGGGGATCTGATTCATTGTCAGCACTAACAGATTGCAAGTAGGCAGACAACTCAGTTTTCATTAGCTCTCTGAGTGATGGTGTGGCTGTGGCAGAGGACATTGTAGCCTTTTTGAAGAAACTTCCAAGAGTTTTCTTTTTTGGTGGCTCCCACTCTGGGACTGTTGGTGCTTCATGAGGCAGTGAGGCAGCAGACCCTGCTGTGCCCTAGTCAGACTGCAACGCCTCTGTCTCCATCTCCAATATGGCTTTGTGCTTGATTTCCTCCACCTTTTCTGCAGGGATGTATGTTGCCTTGAATCTGGGATCCACCAATGATGCTATGTCTAGAAGTGCATCAGTGGCAGGGTCTGCAAATTTCTCCCTCAGGTAATCCAGGATGGAACGTTTGATGGACTGGGTCAGTAAAGTGTCATCCTCCTGAACTGCCAAAGTGCTGGAGTGGAAGAGATGAAGCACGGGCTTGACGTAGGACACAGTAACGTAGTCCTCACCCGACAGAGCATCCGTGAATTCCACAAGGGGATTTAGAGCCTTGTGCACTGACTCAAGGACTTCCAGGTCTTGCCAGGTCAGAACAAGATGCCGTGTTTTCTTGTCTGAAGCCAAAACCTGAGAAATGGCTCGCTCCTGCTCCAACACCCGCTCAATCATCTTCTGCCGGGATCACCACCTGGTAGGAGATTCACTGATCAGCTGGTGTGCAGAGATATTTAGTTCTTTCTGCACTGTGGCCAGGTCTCTCCTCCTCTTCCAACTGAATGAGAAGCTGCTCACAGTCTTCTTGCAAACAGCAATAGCACGATCAATACGAGGGTCTTTCAAGCTTCTCTCTGAAAATAAAAATTAATATTTAAAATGTTATACTAATATGTCACGAAGAAATTCAGCAATCCAGTTACTCATCTTAATACTAGACTTAAACTTTAATTTAGATTTATATATATTTCCTATAGATATCTCGGATTTCAAATAAACATAAACAAAATAGTTTTCAGGCAATTACACATATATACCTAATAAAAGCATTTTACAGACACACACTTTTTAACTGCATGAAATATTCTTAAATTTTAACTGATCGGACAAATTCATGATATACATATGTACTGTAGTTTTACTACCTGATTTAAAAAATAAATAAATAAATAAGTTATATTATATCTGCAGAAAAATCATTAAACTACTCTCAGTTTTAAACTTAATGAAAAAGAGTATATTTTCACTTAATTTTAACTGTGAAAAATATCATGAAACTTTTTAACTGTATGACAAATTTCATGACATACTCAGTTTTTACTACATAAAAATGTAAACATGATTAATTATTCTGTAACTGCTGAAAAGTTAAAAATACTGTCACGATTTTAAACTTCATGAAAAAATGATGAAATAATTCACTTAGTTTTTTAATTCATGAAAAATCATGAAATATTCCTACATAGTTTTTAAAACATGAAAAAAAAGAGGCTTGGCTATACTGTAACTCAAGAATTCATTTAAAATGTTTAAATGTTTTGAAAAAAATGTGAAAAACTTCAATTTAGGTTTTAATTGCATTAAAAAATAATGAAATACACAGATTTTACTTCATTAAAAAATAATTAAAAACATGTTAACGTCTCAAAAATTATGAAGAATGCTCAGTTTAAAACTCAAAAAAACAAACACCATCACGCAGCTTGTAATTGCATGTGACATATGAATGTTGTGTCAGTTTTTTATATTTACAATTATTGATAATAACAGTGATTGCTCGTTTCCCATTAGAGGAAGGCAAGCCTACACAAATACTCACCAATTGCAAGGTGCAGCCGATGTCCAAAACATTGCAGTCTTGTCCACTCGTTCAGGCTCACAGCTTTGACTATATTAGCCCCATTGTCCGTGGTGATGCACACCTGATGAGTTTCTGACAAGTTCCATGACAGGAGAGCATCTTGCAGACCCTGTGCAATGATCCCTCCTGTATGATCATCAGGAAAAAAGCTTGTTTGCAGGCACGAACTTTTCAGTTCCCAGTTGTCAATGTAGTGGACTGTTAAGCTGAGATATGGCTCACAAGTTCTGCTGGACCAGAGATCCGTCGTTGTGGAGAAGTGGGTCGCATTTGTCGGCTGGTCGGCTACCTTTTCTCTATCTAAGATGTACAAGTCTGGCAGCGCTTTTTCTGCAAAAAAATTGCGACCAGGCAAGTCATACTTTGGATTAAGTGTCTTAATAAGATTTTTGAATCCTGGTTTTTCCACCACACTGACCGGAGCCATGTCTTTGGCGATGTACTTTGTCACTGCGGCCGTGATGTCTCTCCACCTTTGACTTTTTCTGTCATATGGGACTGAATTGGCAAACGAAGAGGACAGCGTCATTTGCTTCGGTGACGGTTTATGTGGTGTAGGAGGAGACGTGGACATACGGAGTCTGATGCATTCTTCATTTTGTAGTGGATGGCATTTCAGGTGGTGAAATAAGTTTGTGGTACTGCTACCTTTGGTGGCTACGTTTTTGCGGCATACTTTGCAGATAACCGTATTTTGCTCCACGTCTTCCACTGCCAGATGATTGAGCCAGTGCTGTGTTTTTTCGGCACCAAGTCGTCATTCTCCATCCCTCCGTCCTCTTAGTAACTCGAAAACTTGCCTTGGGTCTCAACTTTTTTTCGTTCTCCCCGTGCTCGTCTCCCTCCTTTCCTTAAACAACAACACGCATGCACGCAGGAGAGTTTCCGGTTGGGAGGAGAGGGACCCAGCTGCAGCCAAGATGGCGGACCCAGAAGATGAACTTCCGCAGTGCTTCCAGAGAATAACTTCTGGGTCATTCTTGTATTCATTCCGGCGGACGGGCTTTGCGATGCCAGAACAGTAGGTGTCCGTATGCCCCCAAACATTCTTGCGGCAAAATTTACAGAAGAAGAAGAACTTTCAGGAAGTTTGAAAATAGCAAGCCATCCGCATTCATTCAATCTCACCTCCGACCCACTCAAACTAACCCTAACCCTGCATTCTATTGTTTCCATTATGGGAAATCTAAGTGACGCTCTCAAATTAACAGGAATATTGCGCAGATGATATGTCCTGGACAATGGACTGAGAAAACGGGCAGAGATTTAGAGGTATTTGTGCATGCTCTATATTACAGTTGAAAAGTGTATGTGACAAGATGATTAACGTTTGCTTTTGTTAAATCAGGGCTTCCCCAGCCAGGACTTCGGCTCAGACTGTGGCATATTCATGTTGATGGTAGGTCATAACGAGCTGTAATGCACAAATATTGTTGTATCTAGAATAACTTTCCAACATGGACTTTTTTAATGTTATCTCACATGTTGTCTCATATTTTTTTTAAGTCTGCCATGTACATTGTTATGGAGTCACAGTTTGACTACTCAGTTGTAAGTACTTTTCAACACGCAGTGTCATCCTCAAGGTTGTATTTTGTATTGTGCACTAAAATGAAATACAAACAACAATTTCAGCATGACATGCCTGTTTTGCGGAGATGGTGGTGCCTGTTGCTCTTGGACAACAAAGCTTTGAACAGGTAGACAGTTTAAGTAAATTAGATGCCCTAATTAACTGGAAGACAATCAATATATTGTACTTAAAGATATATTGTCATTACAGTTGTGGGAAAATCTTTGCCCACTGGACGAAGGAATGTCAGGAGCTTATTGCTGGAAAGCATACTCCAGTCTTCAGGCTTAAGAAGAAGGCCAAGCAGCAGGACACAGAGGTTAGAAAACTGCCTTCTAAAAACAGTATTATCTCAGTCGGAGTCCTTCAAAATGCACATGTAATTGATGTTTCTTTTCAAATTGACTTGTCCAGGAAACCATGACACAGACGACATCTGATGTCCAAAGAGTGTGCATGGCAGATTCCATGAAATTCTGTGTCTACCAGACATCCGACACCACAGGAGAGAGGTTTGTTGCAGACTCAATTTAATAAATGCAATTATCAGGGCCTATTCAGTGATTTTCCATGAAGTGACCACTTTTACATATAGTTTATTTGCACAAATCATGTGGTAAAATTATTTAAACATTCAAATGTGCTGCTGAGGTATAATCAATTGGACAGCGTGTGTGTTTAATATTAAGTTTGTCTCTCATTTGATCAGATTGCTTTACCCTGAGGTAAAGTTTGTAAAATGGGTCCAGTGCAAGACATGCAGGGGCTGGCTGCATCAAGATTGTGCCGGGATTGACATGGAGCCCTTTGACTGTGGCTACGAGGACTCCATTGAGCATCCTCGGTATAACATAATTTATCAAAGAAACATAGTATCAGTCAAAAATACGAGATGCAAAGGATGAAAAATTAGGGCTTGCTCTTTTTCTTATTTCTCTGCAGGATCAAGGATGCCGTTGACAGTGGAAGAATTGGTGCTGTCTTTTCTAAGACACAGATCAAGGTTACTTTTGAATGCACTATCAGTTGTTAAAGCCACCGTTTCTTTTTCAGATGATTACATGTTTGTCTCTTGCTCTTTGGTTTCAGACATTACACGATGATCTGCTTTCTGGAAACATCCGCTCCGGCAGGATGTTTCTTTGGAGGAAACCCGCCACCTCACTCCGGCTAAAGCAGCATCTAAAGATAAGGACACTATGTTGAAGTGAGCAGCGCGTAAGTAAAAATGCCATCCATCATGAGTATTTTTACTCTCAGAGGTGTTTCATTTGAAAGCTGTTTACTTTCTATGTTTTTCTTCAATAGATCTTCAAGCTCCTGCGGTTAATTGAGGAGGCAACAACCATATCCGACAACATCAAGAGAGGCGAGATTCACTTGCTTGATTTTGTCTTTGATGTCATGCTCCCAGAGGTGAGTAGATCAAACTATGTAGCTTGCTTTGAAAATTGATGATATTGTTAAGAGGTTGTTTTTATTCATTTGGAAAGCTCAAGAACAACAATTAACCCATACTGCATAACTTCAATTGTTCACATTATTTGACTGTTTTTCGGCTTTCGATCAAAGCACTTCAAGAGCATGGCATCACCCGACTCAGAGCGGAGCAGATGATGGCCTATGGCAGTATATTTTAAGCCCCCACCACACCGACGGCAATGCTCTCAATTATGGGACGTGGAAGCCTGTATATGTATATATGATTATATTTTTTTACTGTGTGTTTACAATTTATTGTTTTGAAAATATTAAAGAAATCTTTGGAGCAGTTTTATGACAATTTCCCATTTCTTTACAGTCTGTAATGATATCGCAATTCAAGAGTTTTTGCTAAATGGCTCTTCTGAACCTTGAACAGATTAATCTGAGTCAGCACATACTATATACGGATGTTATAATATTCAGTTTCGTGAGTCAAATTTATTTTATATGCCAACATCTATGAAAGAAAGAGCCAGGCCACGGAGCGCGATGTGTCATTTAAGCACAGATGGTTCCGATTTTAATGCCATTTTTGGAGTCTATGATGTGATCTGTGCGCCCAACCCACCTTTGCCACATGAGGTTTGAATATATGCAACTTTATGTGAGTGTCTTTATTTGTGGAAAAGGGTGTTTGTCTTACCAGTGGGTCCAACATTTCACGCACCAAATCCATCTGTGCTCATATGAGAGAGTGTAGAGGACGCCCAATGCAGTGCTTACAGTGACACTTGTTGAGGAGCTGCCTTCTGTCGCCATCTTGTGGCATTACTGTCCTCAGACATCTCTTGATCTCTTTCACTACTTCCCGAAAATAGTAATACGCCTCGCCAGTGGCGGATTTAAAAGGCAAGGAGAGGAGCTTATGTGATTGGTGAAAACAGGTCTCGGCTGTGACTTATGCCGCTGGGAGGAGCTGAGTTAGGGAGGGGGGATACTTACACCGGGCTCTGCCGCTCACCAAAATACCAAATTGTGCTTGGGAACGCCTTATCCGCGCGTTGACCTGACTTACGCCACGCCTGCAGCACGTCTCCAGCAAGGCACGAATATAGAGCCATATGTGTCAATTTGTACTCGATGGTCGCGATGTGGTCATTTTATACATCTCACGTGGAAAAACCCGCTATATGTCGAGTATATTCGATATATCCCCCACCACTAATCTCCCGTACATATTTGTACAGGGATTCAACAATTTCAAACAAAATCAAAGTGTCAGAGTAATCCTCTGATTACTGAGTCAAAAAAAAATGATCACACAAAAAAGTTATCTTCAGATTCTCCAGTAAAAAGTTGATCACACAAAACTGTTGCCGTATTATATTTACAGATTAGATTGATCGTTGTCCGAGTTGTTGATGATTGCTGATAATATTCTTCCAGTGCTCAAAGATGTGTCTGTTCCGGTCGAAGGTCTGAGTTGATCTGATCGCTCTCTCCAGGTTCAAGGTTTAAGTAACGGTCCTGTACTGTGTGAGGTCACGGATACAGAATGTTGGTCACTATGGCGGCAGTGTCCACCTGCTTCAAATTTAAACAATGCAATTTCTCCATATCTTCAATACCATTACTTTTAATGTCAAGTTTAAATTGCTTCATTTGTATGAACAATTCAATGTTGCTATTAGCAAAGACGTTCACGAAACAAATCACAGTATTTATGTCACAAACTCACATTACATGATAGCACAATTATTCTTCAAAGATTAAACTTTTTATGCCCTTTTTCTTAAAAACAATTCAAGGTGTTAAATCTACATGCAGTTATATCACAGTGAAATAATGACAGAGTGTTGATCAAACAGATCCTCTGTGGTTGGGCTCTCAATGAGGGGGTGAGGCCCTCAGGTTGTTGCAGACAGAAACGTCCAGAGCTGCTAAAGGAGCCGTTGGTCCGTCACCCAGAAGGACTGTCAGCTTCTCCTCAGGTGGTAAAGTTGAAAAATTTGGGTTACTGATATTTACCCTTGGATGTTAAAACACTATAGTGAGTGATAACCTTAGCCTAAAAAAATAGATTTAGTAGCCCAGGAGGTAGAGTGGTCGTCAAATAACTGGAAGATTGGCAGTTCGTTTCCCCCCTATCCCCAGTCTGTCCGTTGTGTCCTAGGGCAAGACACTTAACCCACCTTTCTCACGTTTCTGTCAGTCTGCACTACTAAGATAGTAGTCATAGCTGCCCTGGTCGTAGATAGACACCACGAGATTGTGACTGTGTGAGCGAATGAATAATGTATCCAATGTAAAGCACTTTGAGGGTCTCTGATAAAGCGCTATAAAATCTGATGCTTTATTATCATTACAAACTAGCTACATAAACACTTGCTGTTTCCCAGCACCTGTACCTCCATTCTTGTAACCATGCCTAGGAGAAATTTAGTTTTCCCTAATATGTGTTTGTAAAAAAGCAGCGAGCCAAAAAGTACCAGGATGTTCCTCTATCTCTAATTGTATTTTGCAGTATGACAGTAAGCATGCTCCTTTGCTTTGAATAAGATTCACCACATGAACGACCAAATGTAATGGCACTTCATGCAAACTTCGTATCTCATAAAAGCAGATGCAGTATGTACAGTAATGAAAGAAAACTTGATAAACAATCTTATGAATATTAAAAATAGTATTGGAGATAATAGTAGTAGTCGTCATAGCTGTGTGTCGTTCAGTGCGTTTGTTCACTCTGGTGAGTTACACAGCGCATTTTGAAATCAGTTGTCGGCTGTTTCTGTGTATACCTCCTGAAACCATCTCATGCCGCATCTTTAAGATCAAACTGACTACAGAGAGAGGGGTGGATGTTTTTTTTTTGTGGTGTACTATAAAGCTAAAGGAGAATATTTGAGTTGACACGTAATACCCTTATTGTTTCAGGGTTCATGTAGAAATCATGATTGGAAGATAAAGTGAAAGCAGGTGCCTTACCTGCTTGAATTGGGATGATGCACTTGATTACTTCCTTAGTTTTTTAAAATGTGTGAAAAAATAACCCTGGTTTTCTTACAAATAGGCCATGAGCCAGGGGGGTTGGTCGGTATCAACTGAGAGGAATAATGCTCATAGTGATTTTTGACATTGTATACATGTAAAGAGTTAGAAAATATGTGATAGCATTGCAGCAGTGGTAGCTAAATGGGTGCTATCATGCATTTTATTTTATAACACTAGGTGAAAATTACATGGGTCAATATATGAAAACATACAACTTAACTCCCCAGAAAACCTATAGAAAGGGTTTCCTTTCACCAAACATCATTTCTATAAGGTGTCTAGACTAACATAATATAAGTCCTATGAAATCCTAGTTGGAAAAGTATGTTAATTTCACCAGACAACAATTCGCAAATGAGCTCAAAACTTATTAAAAATTTGCCCAAAACACTCCTTTTCCCCTGAACTATTATCACAGTGAAAGCACATTGAAAGAGGGTAATGGCAATGCTGCTTTTGGACTGGCCTCTAACCTGAAAACTGTCCGGCTTGGTTGTACCTACCAGGGGTATTACCCCGGCCGGTGTAGTCTTCAGGGTCACTGAGGAACACAAGCCTCCCCACCATGACAAGGTAGCAACAGGTTGTGTTTTTTTTTTTACTTTTTTTTTTTTTCTTTTTTGTATGTTTATTTTTTGCCTGGAACCTCGCCACCTTCTGTACATGTCAGTTCCTGGCTTGTTCTTTGCTTTGTTCTGGGACAGAGTTAAACCAAGAAAGGTGGTTTTGGTGTATATCCCTACGTTTGCCGTTCAGGAATAGTGTAGGCCTGAATCTCTCCAATTCTCAATTATACAGATCATACTTTTCACTTCTATACGTTCACAACCTAATAATCAATATCATTTTCATCCACTTTTTCCACGTCTTCTTCATCTGAACTTTACACACTGTCTGAGGTGGATGCTTGGTTCTCACAGTCTGCCAGTCTACACATGTCAGTACACTTGAGGCCATTTGCAATACAGACACATTTTGGGAGTGAACATTTCTTTGGACAGTTACAGGCCAGTAGATCTGCTTAGGACCCTCCATCATAAACGAAAGTGATTCAGCTCCTTGACATGAAACCACTCTGCTGTTCTCTGAATTGTGTTGTACAGGACTACTCCGCCACCACTGACTGGCCTATTTATACTGTGTGCCTCAATTAACTCAATGCACAGCATGTGTGTGTTGTGCACACCCAGCTCCATCCATTTAGACTGACTCAGGCCAGGTGTGAGTGTGACAACTTAAATCACAGCAAGAATAAAGTAGAAATATCTAGCCTATGCATTACTTTCCATGTTTTATGTATTAACATGTTTAGGTTGTGTACAAATTAAACCTTTGTGTTACATCTTTCATGAAAACGGAAGACATATATTGTCACTATGTTGTCACTGCTTATAAGAGAAAAAAACATCTAGA